AATGCCTTTTTGGTGAATGTGGGTGTACTGAAATGTTTAGATACTGAGCAGGCTGGACACACGCATTCACCGATTGTGGATAATTGTAGGCACTCATATTAATAGACACTTAGAGAACGTTTCACAGCTGCATGAGATTTTTAAAGCTGATTTTCACAAAATGGTATGCTGTTGAATGAAAGTGGTAACTTCAGTTTCAGTAATTTTCTCAGGCACTATTTAAAGTTTGATGTGGGTGTACGTGAGTAGCCCCCGCTTCACACATCATATATGAATGCTTCAGTGTGGATCTACACGAAAAGCACTCCCTGCAGTATGTAGCATTTTTACGTTGCATTAATGGAAACAATTACGGGTCTATCCATTCACTAAATGCACAACTGTGGTTTGGTTGCCACACTTGTTTTAACTAAATCACCTATTAATAAAAGGCAAATTTGGTTTTCCAGTAAGCTGCCATTTGAAATCAGTCCAATCTCTATTTAACATGATGATTTGGCTATTCCCAAAAAGCCAAATTGCAATGCTTTTGATTAAGTTTATTATTATTTTTATAGCACCAACAAATTATGCAGCGCTGTACAATGGGTGGACTAACAAATACGCAATTGTAACCAGACAAGTTGATTGGTTCTCTTGATGCAGACTGGTGTTTAGCACTCATAACTCTGACCCCACGTAACGATACCACAAACCTACATTCAATGACGCCCCCAAACTCTACTCTTAACTTGGCCTCCTTTTATTTATTTTTTTAGGTTTTTAAATGAATTTCACTGTAGCAATTCAGTCAGAATGAAAATAGCAGGAATTCTTTCAGCTCAGTTTGGTTAGCATTCAGTTCATAGTGAATAAGACAGTGAACCATATAGAAATTTTGGATCAAATGAATTGAATCGAATGAAAGCTTATATCCCAGAAAGAATCACAGCATGGCTCCCAGAGAAAGAGTAGTAAATGTTTGCCTTTTTCCCTCCGGTGGCATTAGGTACGTTTAATGTACCAGCCCACAACATCAAACATTTGGGAGTGTCTCACAAAGCATGGCAAAGCTTACGTCTGTAAAGTTAAATTTAGGTGTGCTCCAGTGGGGTTATTGGCCAGTAGAGATCCACAGGTGTGAGGTAGGTGTGTGTAAATGCATAATTAGTGCATCGTCTACATATCTCTAGTAGAATCTTAGGGAAAAATCCGCCTTTGGCCCAGTAATTCCCACAATTCTACCAGTTTCTCACAAAGTACGTGCAAGGGTTAATAAAAATATATTTTAGTTAGCCAGTTTTTAGACCCCCAAAAGATGCTAAAACTCCCCCTGTTAACACCATACACACCTATTCTGAAATAAAAGCTTCCACCACAGGACAACTTATAGACATGAAGCCTAGGATGCCAAAATAGATGAAAACCACAAAAAGCAACATAGCATTAAACTATATAAAAACCAATACTATTGCACCTGTCTCAGCATTAACGTGATTTTTTTTCTTTTATGGTGATAATAGTATTTAATAAATGTATCAGAGACAGGCTAGACTTGCTTATCTGAATACTTGATGAAATCGAAGCTTCCCAACTGATAGAGTAATTCAGACAAGAAAAGTGTTTTGTAGGTATGAATAGTAATAAACATGCTAGGCAGACAGGAAGATAGGGAAATACTTTAGGCAAATAAAGCATGTGTGAAATAACAAGGTAATGTAAGTATATGGACAGTTAAGCTCTGCAACACGAATAATCTGCAAACCCAGTATTAGCAAATATGAATTGCTATTAGTATTAGAAAGTAACTGGGTGACTAAGACTGCATTCATAAAACACAAGCTAATACAGATTATAGAATAACATGTAAAATAAATGTAGCTTAATTCAGGTGGGCTGGACACTGTTGTTTAAACACCCCTGTGGGTCACAATAGAGGGGGTTGAAAATAATGTTATTATGGATTAAGGCTCTGTGCTAGATATGATAGCCCCATGGGAGGCTGTAAATGCATGGAGCCCCATATGTGGCAATTCACTCAGCCGAAGCCTTGTCGCAAGGTAGGCACCAATGGTCCATTAGGCAAGGGTGTTTTATTCGAAGCAGCTTGCGGGTCAGCGCCTGGAGGTAGGTGGAGCCGCAGAGCAGATCTCCGTTCGGAGCGAAGGGTTGGTTAGCCCAGATAAAGCAAGCCTCATGGATCTCCCCTCCTTTGAATGTTAATGCGCCGAGCGGGCTGGGGTCTTTCCTTCCTTCCTCTCCGCTGCTTGGGGGTGTTGGAGAGCCCCTTGCTTGCCGGAGCGGTCAATCTGGCCCTTCATGCTGATAGTGAGTTGGAGAGATGCTTGTCTCAGGTCCCTTGTCACCTGGTGCTTGTGGTAGACCAGGGGCCACACAATGCTGCAACCTGTCCCAGAAGGCTTTGTAGATGCTGTAGAACGCTGCTAGAAAGTCAAGGCAAGGCCTCACATGCCTCGTGGTGTGGTGCTCTGCCGCCATCTTGGACATAACGGGTAAGCCCCTCGAAGTATCAGGGAGTTTACAGGTCAGTCCCAGATGCTAGGGTGGCAGGAAATCCTTCACCGGCAAGTGTCTGCTAACACGGAGTGCGCTAAAGAGTCGGCCGCCTCTCCATCCCACACACCACCTGGCCGCAGCTAGGCCTCAGGGCTGCCCCGGTAAGTCAGAAAACAAGTTAGGCGGTAACTTCGTTCCAAAGCGCAAATTAGGAGCCTCAGATTTGTAGTTAGTCAGCAGAGTTGTACAGTGCTAAAGTCCAGAAGCTCAGACGATGTGTGACTGTTCGCCATACTGGTTAGGACCCTCCCTCATTAACGTGATTTTTAGAACAGGGAAAGGCAGAACTTAATAAGGGAAGCGTTAGTATGAACACAAATAGTCACCGTGCATACTAAGATATTACAAATAACACCAAGCAAACATATGAAAGAAAACAAAACGTGAGCTCTTTGGAACAGGGCCCACAGCAACTACTTGTGTTAGTCCTGCTCTTGTACAGTGCCTCAGAATGTGTTGTTGCCTTATAAATAATAACAAAAGTTGTAACTGTATTTTCTATTTCTAAAAAGCTTTTGGTCAAGGAAGTGCAACTTTGAGTTGGCTCTTAAGTTGTCCTTTTGGATCACAACCCATGCTTTGGTTTATAGAGCTGTGTTTGAAATGGTGCTCTATTGCTAAGGGTGCCTGCAGAAACACAGGATGAGGTCCTAAACCTGATGTGTCTGCTCATTTGCACGTTGAGTAAGGCATTCTGGGAGGATGATTTCTTGGAATAACTGTGCTCAAGGCAGACTTTTTAAACCAAGCTCCTACTTTAGGTTTTATTTCCATGCTAGATAAAGTCGAATAATTTGCAAACTTAGTATTTTTATAATTTTGCGGTATATGTGCATACATTGAACAAATCTTACCAAACATTGGCCAATCCCTATTTATTCCACTAAGCACTGATTTGGATAAATATTATCCTTTCTCGTATAGAAAGCAGTAGACCAATACCATGCATATATCCTATTAAAGACACTTTATGCAATCTTGTCATGTGGTGCCATATTAATATTCATATTAATAATTTTAAAATTAAATTATAAATTTTTCATAATTGTCTCAAAATATTATTTTTATATTTTGCCTCACAATTATCCCTACAGTACGCATACGGTATATGTGGATTCTCATAAAGTGACCTATGTATGTACAAAGACTGTCTGTGCCTTGCATGTGTACTGTGCATGTTCAATTCTTATTGAAGAAGACTATGTGTGTGTCATCATGTAACACGTATTTAAATTGCATGTGTGAATTCTGATTAGAGAGTCTGTATGCACACAGTCATCTTGTGTGACATGTGTTGCACATGTGTGAGTTATCACTGTAAAACAGGGGTGGGGAACCTTTGGCCCTCCAGATGTTCCGCACTACATTTCCCATAATGCCCTTACCGCCATATTGCTGGCAAAGCATCAAGGGAGATGTAGTCCACAAAATCTGGAGGGCCGAATGTTCCCCACCCCTGCTGTAGAAAAATGCATAGACAAAATAAGTACTTTGTTGAATAAGTTTATTAGCTGAGGCTGAGCTACTAAAATTTTAATCAACCCTTTTAAATGTATGTGAATACTTACAGCGAATGCATTTGTGTTGTGTTCAACAGCATTTAGCAAAGCTTTTTATTCTTCCCTTTCTCTCTCATCTAAACATGACGTTTTGGTTATTGCTGCCTCCCCTGACTCTTCATCCATCCACTCACATTCTCCTCTTGCCAATCATACAATTCCCCATCCATGTCCTCTCTTTCCCAACATCGCTAATCCCCTTCCTTCCTGCTCCAAGACCCTTATACTCTTGGCATGTCCTTTTGGCAGAAAAGGTATGTAATTTCCAAAGCTGTTTCTCACACACTGGAACCTTAAAGGGACACTGCCACAATACAACATCCATCCGAATTGTAAGCAGTTACAAAACTGTTGCATGTTGATTTGTATTTGAATGAAGATTAAACATTTGTGGAAGTGATACATTAAATACCGGTAAATTAAAAAAATAAATACAGTTTTGAATACAGAATGCTTGCTTTTGTGAGGTGAGCAGCACTTAGGGAGGTTTGATTCTAAAAAAAGCTACATATTGTATTTTTATTGCAAATGGGCGGGGGTTAGACAACAATATCAAGCTAGAGATCACTACAGGGTTCAGCACAGCATTAGGAATCCTAACAGTATAGCAGGGGTAGGCAACCTTCAGCACTGCAGATGTTGTGGAATGCATCTCCCATAATGCTCTTAAACCCTGGCAAAGCATCATGGCAGATGTAGTCCAAAAATCTGGAGTGCTGAAGTTTGCTTACCCCTGCGCCATAGAGTTCCATTAAGCACTCAACATGGTTTTTGAGAGTTTTAAGCTATGTTAGGAGTGGGCAGGAAGACATTAGGTCAGCTAGCAGCAGTATATAGGTTTTTCTAATCTATGTATATCTGTATAATACACTTGTGTGTGTGTGTGTGTGTGTGTGTGTGTGTGTGTGTGTGTATATATATATATGTATATATATATATATACACACACACACACAGACACTATAACACAATTTTATAGCATGTATACACACATATTATAAAATTGTGTTAGCAGAGACATGGAGCTCACCCAGAATTCAAGGTGTGCTGAGCTCCCTACAGACACAGACACTCTGTGTCCCTGGAGGAGAAGGTAGGACAGAGATAGATGAGCTTTGTTCCTCTGCCCTCTGATTAATGGCTCAGGAGATGTTGCCTTGATGGGACCTCTAGGGAATGACAATGAGAAGGTACGTAGGGCAGTACTGGCACTGTGACCCTCACTGTGCCATGGCTCTTTAAAATGCCAAGCATCACAGTCTTAATTACCAATTCACTTTAACTGAGCTGCGTTGTTTATGGTTGGCAGAGGCAGGGGTGCAATATTCGGCTTGCATTGTGCATGCCAGCACTTTGTATGACACATGCCTAATGGCTTTTTATTTGCATTGGCTGCCCCCAGAACATTCATCCAGCATTGGTTCTGTGCCTTTTCGTGTGAAAGCAGTGGTGACATGCATCGCATTGCAGGAATCTCTTGTAATGTGTGACATATTGTGCGTGGCATTATCTGCAGCATCTCTGCACTTTATTGACAATCTTGCATCCTTCCCTTGTTTTATTTTCTTCCCCTATTATTTACTGCAGTCTACCAATACTAGCCAACGCCAGCAGAAAATAATGAGTAATTTCGCACTAGTCTGAGAACCCCAAACTAATTCTAATTGATACTTGGCCTGTGCCAAAGAAGGCGTAATGTAATGATAACGCAGCACTCTGCGAGTCAGGGGGCATGTCAGACTGTCAGCGTTGTGGATATAGAGTCCCTTGCGCTGTTTTCATGTTTCCTAAACGCATAATTAAGCTATTAGGAGTTATTTCTTGGTTGCATTGCCCTTTTTACGCTGAACTGTTGCTATAACCGACTTTTACAATTTGGTGTGCCAGGGAATGTAATAACATAACAGTCATTAAAGAGAAGAGAAGTCATTAGCAGAACGATGGTGTTTAATTAGAAGTACTCAAAATGTAAGCTATGCCACTGCATTGAAGTTGCCCCCAAGCAACATTTGCAAGATCCTTTATTGCAATAAATAGACCTTGTCGTCCTGTACCGACAATGACAACTGGAAAAGTAGGCTGGTTTGTGGATGTATGCATGGCTGCTAAGTCCTTCTTAATAATTACGTGTGTGTGACACATTTGTTTAGTGAATTGCAAAAAGGGATTTACAGGGCCCTACATGGCAGATGTCTTGTTTATAAATGTGCTACTTTTAACATAGTTAAATTTGGGGAAAACATAGCGTGTGACTGTGGCTATGTTTTCCCCAAATGTCTTTTTTTTTGTTTGTTTGTTTTGTTTGTTTTTTTTTTTGTTTGTTTGTTTTTTTTTACAAATAATATTAACAGAGCATACATTTCAACTCCTCCACTATTAGCCAGATAGCCAGATCATAAGTCACTCACCACAGCAGGCATTTAGGACCCATGACATACTTGTCAGGTTTACATTTTTACTTGCCGATGGCTAGTGATGACTGAAAATTTTGAGCCCTGTAAATTTCATTAAAAATCAGAACTGTCAGTGGCATTGAATGTAGAAGTTTATTTTCTCCTGGGCACACGTGCTAAAAATATATTCTCCATTCTGTGTGTTTATTTATAAGAATTTCCTATGCATATTCTATTAAGCGTTAAAAAGATCATTACTGATGCAAGATGCTGTTTCAGAATAAAAAGTTTCATTTCAGTTCAAGAAATGCATGCTTCTTAAATCCACTGAGTGTTCAAACCCTTAGAAGCACCTTTCTAATATTCAGTTGCATCCCCTTTTGTCTTTAGAACATTTGGGACATGGATTCTAGCATGTATTTTGAAGTGTTTGGACTTTATTGATATTGATGCTTCTCTCGGCTGGTAAAGGATGTTAAGTTGCTCAGAGTTATTATCACGATTGTGAAACAATTACTAGTTTGTCTTGTGAAATAGTCCCTCATCCTGAAAACCTCACTAACTAGATATGCATTCTTGTTGCCTTAATGACTTACTAGGTTTAATTAATTGCCAGTCTGGAATCTCATTTTTAATGTGGGGACACTATAGGCACCAGAACAACTACAGCTTATTGTATTTGTTCTGGTGAGTATAATCATTCCCTTCAGGCTATTTGCTGTAAACACTGTCTCTTTCAGAGAAAATGCAGTGTTTACATTACAGCCTAGTGATAACTCCACTGGCCACTCCTCATATGGCTGCTAGAGGTGCTTCCTGGGGCAGTGCTGCAGAGTAAGCATCACTGCCATGTAATTCCTCCACCCTTGGCATGTAGACACTGAACTTTCCTCACAGAGATGCATTGATTCAATTAATCTCTGAGGATATGCTAATTGGCCAGGGCAGTGTTTGACTTGTGCTGGCTCTGCCCCTAATCTGCCTACTTGACAGTCTCAGCCAATCCAATGGGGAAGCATTGTGATTGGCTCAGACCACCACTTCTGATGATGTCAGCAGGCAGTTTCAGATGCCGTCTTGAATACAGGTAAGATTTTATTATATTTAGGAAGGCAAGAGGAGGCCACGGAATCTACATGTTTGTGTTCCTGACCCTATAGTGCTCCTTTAAAGGGGCACTATAGTCACCAGAACAACTATAGCTTATTGAATTTGTTCTGGTGAGTAGAATAATTCCCTTCAGGCTTTTTGCTGTAAACACTGTCTTTTCAAAGCAAATGCAGTGCTTACATTACAGCTATTGATAACTTCACTGGCCACTGCTCAGATGGCTACTAGAGGTGCTCTCTGGGACAGTCCTGCCTAGTGTGCATCACAACATTCACTGACTCCACCCTCTGCATGCAGGCACTGTACTTTCCGCATTCATATAATTAATCGCTATGAGGAGATGTTGATTGTCCAGGGCTGTGTTTGACTTGTGCTGGCTGTGCACCTGGTCTGCCTCCTTGACATCTCAGCCAATCCTAGGGTAAGCATTGTAATTGGCTCAGACCACCACTTCTGATTATGTCAGAGGTCAGAAGCAGTTCAGAGACAGACCGGGGCAGATCCAGCAGCTCCAGACTGGAATACAAGTAAAATTGTACTATATTTAGGGAGGCAAGTGGGGACCAGGGGTGCTAGATGGTGGTTTTAACACTATAGGATCAGGAAAACATTGTTATTCCCTAAACCAGGAATTGCATAGAATTGAAAAGGGAATGGCAAATTTCAGGCCTACATAACTAATTGCAAAAACCCTCAAATGATCACTTCACACCCATAAAGCACGTTAGCGTGCTAAAGAGCTTTACGGGTAAGGAAGTATCCCATTTTCATGGCACTAAAAGTGTTTTTCTAACTGAATTAAAGTGACACTCTAGGCACCCAGATCACTTCATCTCATTGAAGTGGTCTGGGTGCATTGTCCCTGTTCCCTTAACTCTGCAATGTAAAATATTGCGGTTTTAGAGAAACTGTGGGGTTAAGACTGTGTCTACCAGACACCCACCAGAGTTTCTTCCTGCAGTTTCATGAATTTGACTCCCCATGGGAAAGCATTAAGTCAGTACTTTCCTATGAAGAAGTCCTAAACTGTGCTCAGTGTTCACTGCGCATGCTCATTAGGTCCCCCCATTGGATGTCGGTAGAGGAGGAGCCCGACCGAGCACTAAGGGACCTTGGTGCTTGAATCTGTTAAATGTCAAGTTATTTAACCCTTTCATGGAGAGGGTGGAGGGGTCGCGGGGACAATACTATAGTGTTGGTTAGCTTTGTATTCCTAGCACTATAGTATTCCTTTAAGAAATGATTCTCCAGCTGTGAATCATACAGCCGAGGAGGTTCCCTTCCTCTTTTCGTTAGCTTCACTGGGCTAACTAAACTGGCAGGCTCCTTCTGATAGCGTGTGCCTGCCTTATCCCAAGAGTCATTGTGAGTCGGTGAGTGGGCAAGTGGCTGCCTTTCTCACTTTGTTTACCCGCTTCTCTGAATCAGATGCTTCTAAAAGTCTGTATTTTGGAAAAGGGGTTGGCTTGTAAAGGCTGCAGGCAGCTTTTCCAAGCTGATTTTAGATATGCGATCCTAATGACAGCATACATAAATAAACGCATGCATTTTGTCATTGGGGACATATATACTAAATAGTGATTTATTTGTGTCTTTATTTTTAATGTGGAGTATTCCTTTAAGTTCTTTTTCCACTCATATGCAGTTTTGAGTTTATTGAATAACTATGTAAATAAAATATATACAGAGGATAACACAGTATATCCAGTTGAACTAGCTTGCACCTGTATACCTGGCAGTAAATAGACTTAACTAGTTGCTCTGTCTGGTATACAACCCCATGGCACCTACTGACAGTTAGTGATTCTGGAATGATGGGATATTGTGCTGCATTGTTCGAACACAACATGTTTGTTAGTCACTTTTGTTTTTCTTAAGGATTGTACTGACTATTAATATTCCTCTCTTCTTCTGTGCACAAGGCCAAACCCTGAACAGTACTTGAGTATTAGCCAAGGGTTTGTACAGATCAATAAGCAGACTGAGTGTGCTAGCAGCTCAAGTTCCTGTGTGGGATACCTTGAAACATGTACCGAGCCACATTTTACATTATCTATTATTATTCTACATCGAGAGCTGCCGTTCATCCACTTTATGGACATTATTACCTTGTCTGGGCTTGAGCGTTGGATATTAAATCTTTTTCTTGCTGTTATATTTAGAATTAAATGGAACTTGCTGCCTAAACAGTGGGAATGTTGACCATTGAAGTTAATTTTGTCAGAACCGCTTGAAAAAGTAATACAATTATTAAATGTATGTTGAACTTCCCTTTTTAACAATACCAGGTTTCCCCATATGCAAATGAACTGTTACAAGCTAGAACAATAATTTATTTTTGAAGCACCAACAAATTCTGCAGTGCTGTACAATAGGTGGTCTAACAAACAAGTAATTGCATCAAGGCAACAGGAGCAGAATGTGCTGAGATCCCTGCTCAAGTGAGCTAACATTCTAA